AGAGCAGAAGATCAAACACCACGTGTTCTCACTCATAGGCGGGTGTTGAACAATGAGAACACATGGACACAGGGAGGGGAGCACTACACACTGGGGTCAGTTGGGGGGAAATAGGGGCGGGACGGTGGGGGGTGGGGAGCTGGGGAGAGATAGCAAGGGGAGATATGCCAGATGTAGGTGATAGGGGAGAAGGCAGCAAATCACACTGCCACGTGTGTACCTATGCAACAATCTTGCATGTTCTTCACATGTACCCTAAAACCTAAAATGCAATAAAATAAATGGGAAAAAAAAAGAATATTTATACCTATGTTTTTTTCTAATAGTTTATACAGTTTTAGCTCTTACATTTAGGTCATCGATCCATTTTGAGTTAATTTCTCATTACTTTTTTTAAGATGAAAATTAACTACTATGAGGGCAAATGTCACCCAGATAGAAATGGTCATTCCAAAATAGCTTCAAAAGGTATTAAATGTCACTGGTAAAAAAATATATTAAATAGTTTTTAATTAAAAGCTTTACTTCAGAACACTAAACCAGTGGTTCTCAAACCCAAGTGATACTGAGGCTGCTGGTCTGCGAACCACACTTTGAGAACCACTATTCTGAATAACTTTTGGATTATGAACCCTATTTAAGTCAGTTTAGTTGACACATAAGTTATAGAAAGCAGCAACTTTTAGAATGAGAAATCCTTTCTGCTAGGTTGTATAACCAGATTTTTAAAAGGTTTGACTTGAAAGAGACCTCAGTTGAATAGACATCTTGTCGAACATACAAATAATAAAAGATGTGGAAAGTGAGGCCAGGAAAGGTAAAGGAAATCAAGCATGGCTAATAGCTATGGTGGCAGAACAACTGTTGCTTTTAAAACCCAGGGTTTCTGGATTCTCCAGGCTATTTCCAAAGCAGCTTATACAGGTAACAAACCTCCCATGTTGAAATAATCTGGGGATGATGCCATCCATATTTAATACAAACAAAATGCTAGTTAAAACCCTTTTTTAAAGTGAAAGTTATGTTTGTTAATACTCTTCTATTGACTTCAAGCTAGTCCACCTGCGGCCAGCACATGGCTCAGGATGGCTTTGAATACGGCCCAACACAAATTCGTAAGCTTTCTGAAAGCAGCATGAGATTTTTTTGGGATTTTTTTAAAGCTCACCAGCTATCTTAGTGTTGCATATTTTATGTGTGACCCAAGACAATTCTTCTTCCGATGTAGCCCAGAGAAGCCAAACCACTGGACACCCTTGGTCTACTTCTTAGATGCCTACTGCAGTTTCTGAAGGAAAAAACAAGGTCACAACCGAAAAATCGGACGAATAAAAGTGCAGTTTTAGGCTTAGACTCTTGGGACAACAGTACTTAACGTTTTGGGGATGTTTCCATCTTTGTGAGGCTAAGCACACGCTTTTTGCATTCTGTTGTGTACTTTTCACTTCTGATTCAACTTTTATCAGGCAATTTCTTTTTTTTTTTGAGACGGAGTCTCACTCTGTTGCCCAGGCTGGAGTGCAACGGTGTAGTCTCAGTTCACTGCAACCTCTGCCTCCCGGGTTCAAGCGATTTTCCTGCCTCAGTCTCTCGAGTAGCTAGAATTACACGCTCGTGCCACCACACCCAGCTAATTTTTGTATTTTTAGTAGGACTGAGGTTTCATTATGTTGGCCAGGCTGGTCTCGACCTCCTGACCTCGTGATCGGCCCGCCTCAACCTCCCAAAGTGCTGGGATTACAGGCGTGAGCCACCGCGCCCGCCTAATCAGGCAATTTCAAGTGCTTTACTAACACGAATATTAAAAAGCGATGTGCACCCGTCTCTGCTGTGATTCCAGAGCTAGCGCAATGTTCTAACTGGGTTTGAAGTTTCCCCGTCAGGCGCGACTGGGACTTGGGACAGCCATCGCCAAGCGGTCAGCGGCGCCCGTCCCAGTTCAGAGGAACAAGGAAAGCCTGGGCTGGAGACAGCGACCGCTGCGTTTCTGAGCAGACGCCTCGGGCGCCTGAAGGATGCACTCAGCCCCAAGCGGGAGAAAAGCAGCGGCAAGCCGAGTCCATTCCGGGCCCCGCCTCAGACCGCCCAGGAGCCGGCCGGGGTGGGCGGGAGATGGGCGAAGGGGCCCTCGGCCGGGCTGGGCGCCCAGGACGCCGCAGGGGCACAGCTGCCAGGGGCCCCGAGGCGCTAGGCCCCCGCGCCCTTCTCCTACCTCACGCTGAGGGAAGCGGGCCCAGTGACTACGTGGTGGTTGGCCAAAGCGCGACGCCGAGCCGTTGCCAAGCGCGGAATCCAAGGAAGCCGCTCCCACAGTCCTCCGCGCGGGGGTGGGCGGGGCCGGAAGCGCGGGGGCGGGAAGGGGCGCGGCGGGAAGCTGGAGGCTCGGGTGGCGTGGGGAAGTTGGGAGGGTGGAGAACTGCCTGGCCGGGAGCACAGAGCGCAGTCCTCCCAGGCACTGCAGTGGCGGCGGGGGCGGAGGGTGTTGGGAGGACGGTGCTAGCGGCTTACCGGAAGCGGGACGGGGGAGAACGGTGGAGGAGAGGGCAGGGGGCCGGGGGCCTCTATTCGAAAGGAACGCCGGGGGTTGCGAGGCTGGGGGGGCCTGTGTGAAGGGGGCGGGCAGGGAGTCGCGCGCGGCCAGTGTGAGCAGGAGGAAGGAGGGCCCAGAGTGGCTCCGGGCGGGCGGCCTCTGTGGGGAAGGGGAAGGAGAGGAAACCGAGGTCACCTCAGGTCAGGAGTTCGAGACCAGCCTGGCCAACACGGTGATACCCCGCCTCTACTAAAAATACAAAAACTAGTCGGGCGTGGTGGCACGAGCCTGTAATTCCAGCTACTGGAGAGACTGAGGCAGGAAAATCGCTTGAACCCGGGAGGCAGAGGTTGCAGTGAGCTGAGATCATGCCATTGCACTCCATCCAGCCTGGGCAACAAGAGCGAAACGCCGTCTCAAAATATATATGTATATTTAGTGTTGGGAGACAATTCTCCATGGGTCCCCTGCACTGTCCCATGTTTTGTGAGGAGAGGCACTGGCTGCCCTTCTTCTGGACTATTATGATGGCTAGTTTCATGTGTCAGCTGCGTTACTCTGTGGAACCGGGGCTTTGGTCAGACACCAGTCTAGAAGGAATTTTTTAAGATGTGATTAAGTGGCCCTCATCCTGTCAAGGGAAAGTCGTAAGAGAAAAAAATAAGGTCCTCTGAGGAAGAAGGAATCCTGCTTCAGCCCTTTCCTGGGTCTCTAATCTGACTTGCAAATTTTAGGCTTGCCAGCCTCCCCGATTGCATGAGCCAATTCCTACAAATAAATCTCTCTGCAGTATGCATCGTATTGGATCTGTTTCTATAGGAACTCTGATTAATACACCTTTTCAAGGAACAGTTTTGGAAGAGTAAGTTAATTGTCTCCTTCCGGAACAAAAGACAGGTTTGTTTCTGTTCAGTATAATAAAGATAATGTCAACCTCGAGGGCAAAGGCTGAGCATGTTGGCTTGTAGTTCCTCATAGAAGACTGGGATTTCCTAAAACCTGGGCGGTAAAACCAGCCACGTGTATGCCATCCACCTGGACTGTCCTCATGGGTTTTGGGGGGAAAGGGAAACCAAAGGGAATATGGAACAGGCTGGTGGCTGTGCTGTGAAAAGTAAGTCCTTTCTCTCTGACTCAGGTGTTTTCTGCCATCATTCATGGAACTGTCAGACTAGCTTGTTAGCTTGCAAGTAGTGTAAAATCGAACACAATTTTGAATAGTATCTAGCGATATACTGTACCCAGCTCATAGCAGTTGTTGCAAGAAATATTTGTTGAATTAATTAGTGAATACTGGGTGGCCTTATTTCAAGTTACTGCCCGTCAGTAGAGACAATTTTCATTATCTCTGGATCTCCATACTATAAATTTCCAGTCCCCTCAAAAAATTTTTAATTAGAAACAAATTCCAGTTCTTTCAACTTGGTGTTCTTTAAGCATGATACAGTTACTTGCTCAGGAAGTGCTCAGTCACCTTCATTTTAAACGTTGTAGTGTAGCTAGCATATTTACTGAACACACTTTAATATTATTGCCAGACAAAATGTTAGAGTCACCTAGCTTATATTAGTAAAATTCAAGCTCCACAGGGAACGGGCATTTTTGTCTTTTTTGTTCTAGACTCTATTTCCAGCACTTAGAAAAGTGTTGAACCAAGTTGGCTTTCAACAATTGGTTTATTGAATGAATTGTCAGGGCTTGTAGTTAATTATATAGACAGTTGGGGGGAATGGGTAGCAAGCAGCAAGCATGAATCCCAAGTCTGGCAAGAGTAATAGGATGAAAGCTAACACCATTTGTTAGCATGGAGAATACTGGAGGAGAAGCACGTTTGAGAGAGAACATAAGCTTAGTTTTGAACATGTTGAGTTTCAGATGCCTGTAAAATATGCAAATGGAGATGTTGACTAGGCACTTGCTGAGTATATACAGTTGTATTATAAAGCTCAGAGAAAAGATCCTCAGGCCTCGCGTGGTGGCTCACATTGTACCCAGACTTTGGGAAGCCAATGTGGAAGGATTGCTTGAGGCCAGAAGTCCAAGATGAGCCTGGGCAGCATAGCAAGACTCTGTCTACATATAAATAAAAATGAGCCAGATGTGGTGGTACACACCTGTAGTCTTAGCTACTCAGAAGGCTGAGGCACGAGGATCCCTTGAGCCCAGGAGTTTGGAGGCTGCGTTGAGCTATGATCATGCCACTGCACTCCAGCCTGGGCAACAGAGTGAGACTATCTCTTAAAAAAAAGAAAAAGAATGATCCTATCTAGACATACACACTTGTTATTCAGTAGCTCCTAAAACAGATGGATTTGAAGCCTAGGTGTGAGTGAGATTGCTTACAGGGAAGGAGGACATAGAGGGGAAGGAAAAGAGAGTCTAAAATTGAGCCATGGAAAAGTAATATGTAAAGATTTTGTAGAAGAGGAGCCCCTAATGATTCTGTTTAGTGATCAGACGTATTTGACCAAAACCAGGAAAGTGAAGGTAATGGAAGCTAAAGGAAGAAAACATGTCATTCGAATTCTGGCATTCTGAATTAAAAAAAAAAAAAGTCAAAAAGGAGGGAGTGACGTATGCTTGGGAAAGGTCAAGTCAGTTGAACCAAAGACATTTCACGGTCTTTAGCCATATGAAGGTCACTGTTCATTTAGCAAGAGCTCTTTCAATGAAACGGTGGTGTTTGCCTGACTGCACGGAGTGGCCTGGGTAATTGGTGATTAAGTAGTAACTGAACACTGAAACTCAAGAAGCCTGGCTGTGAATGAGAACAAAGAGAGAAAGCACTAGTAGATAGCAAGCGAGCCCAAGGAGAATTTTTGTTGGTTTCTTTTAAAAGATAGACGATATTAGAGCATGTTTTAATACTAACGGAAATAATCCAGTAGAAAGCATTTGAAGGTGCAGGGGAGATGGCTAAAAGGGAGGAGAATGGAAGAGGTTCCAAGGTGGAAAAAAAGTAGAGAAGGTCTAGAGTACGCAGAGACGAGAAGAGACGTTAACCAGAGAAATGCAGTAACATTGCTTGGTAAGTTTAGGTGCTCAGTTGATACCAACGACTGTGAATTTATAGTGATGAGCATCTGCCTTGTCCGGTACTCTCACAGCCCCATGTTCCACTGATCTTCATCAGGTACGGATATGGAAAAGACAGATGGAGAAATGTGCCCAAGGTTGAAATCTGTTGGTCAGTTGCAAAGAAAGGAGTCTGTTATCATCATCGACATGAAATTTAATATAAATAACAATTTACATTAAATTTTATTTATATTTATTAAATTTTATTATTTATATGAATTTAATATTAATATAAATGAATGGGGCTAATAATAGGAAGACAGTGGAGGAGTTGGAGGTCTTGATGAAGTTAGAGCAGTTATGATAGAGTTACTTCAGCTTTTTGAATTAGTGATGTTGGAAGTGAAACAGTTTTGAGCTGGTAACAAGGTTCAGGGTTTGATGATGGGTATGGAGGAAGCCATTGAGAAGAAAGCCATTTCAGATAAGGAGTCCAAGGTTTCAAGCCACTGAAATAAGTGGAGAGATCTCTGTGAGCCAGGCGGCAAAGACTGAGGGAAAGCAAAGAGGAAGTTGGAAGAGATTTGGAAAAGAGTATACCAGATGGCGCAAGATTCACAGCTGCAGAAGATTTGCAAGAGGGCGCAAAAACCAGGGAGAAACCACCATCCCTGCCTTCTGACTCAGACATCCCTGAGCTGCGAGAGAATAAATAACAACCTGTTAGGGCTCCAAGGGAGCAGTATCCTTAAAGAATGATCCATTTTCTGTGAAAGCAGAGATGGGGAGAGTATTGGGAAAATAAGTGGAATATATGGGGCGTCTGCTAATCACAAAACAGAAATTCCAGCGGGCTTTCGGAGGAGTTGGACCAGGATATGCTGCTGGCCAGAATGACATGCAGTCCGGGTGGTGGCCAAGGACAACAAGGAGTGAGAGGAGGTGGAGTTAGCTCTGACATATACGGCTAGCAGAATTTGGCTATGGCCTGCAGGTGAGGCTCAGTGGCTCTGGCAAGAGGCTTGTGACATTTCCTTTTTCATCCAGGTCAGCTGATGATGCAGTTGCAGCCAGGAATGCAGAGCACCAGCCTGGGAACATCTATTTAGCAGAAGGTAGTGAAGGATGGGCCCCTGCAGGCTGGTTTCCTACATGAGGCTGATGCTCTCATGGGTTTAGGGTCAGTGTTTTTGGGTCTTGGCTGTCTGATGTTCATCCATAATTCGACCTGACCTGCGGCATTTCTCTCCAGTCACTGTACCACTTTCCTTCACCTTACAACCTAGAGGGTCTAGCAGCCTCTTCTCTCACTTGCTCTGTTACCATAGCTTCTTGTCTTTTTTCACTGCTTTCTCTCTACTCTTCTGTCTTCCCACTTGCTCTCACTCAATGATTCTCCACCCAGTCTCCCCTCCCCACTCCACTTTGACTTTTGGACAAAGTCTGTACTCCATAGTGTGGCTTAAAAGGCCCTTCACAGTAAAAAGGCCATTCACAGGGCCCTGACCCCTATGTTACTACTCAGGATGCTTTGCTGCAGCCAAGAAAAGCCAATTCTTGTTGATTAAGCAGAAAAGGAGTCTTTCTTTTTTGAGATGGAGTCTCACTCTGTCGCCAGGCTGGAGTGCAGTGGCATGCGATCACGGCTCACTGCAACCTCCACGTCCTGGGTTAAAGCAATGGTATTGCCTCAGCCTCCCAACTAGCTGGGACTACAGGCACGCACCACTATGCCCAGCTAATTTTTGTATTTTTAGTAGAGACATGGTTTCACCATGTTGGCCAGCTTGA